ACAATATTATCGTAAGTATGAATTTCGAGGACGAAATTCTTTTAAGGAGGGGAGGTTGTGAGGACCTAAAATTTTCTTGTTTTATTTTATTTTACTGGCTTAATTAATTATTTACCCACACGTTTTTTTCGAATATTTTATTTCAAACTTTTATTGCTCAAATACATGAAATTGTGGCTCATATGTATTTTAAAAATGACTTGATTCCAAAAGTTAATTTTTTGAAAGCTCGTTAAGTGAGAATAGTGAATACGTGTTTGGAGACAATAACCAATTTGAGAGTACAATGAGTTTGAAAAATTGGAGACTTGTACATTAGTTTTGAAATAGGTATTTTTATGTTTAAGTGCTCAAGTGATAGTTAGTTATACTATCGTTATAAGAATTTCTTGGAGATTCACTTTATCGCGCTTAAATCAGGAGTACGCATTTTTACGCGCGCGATTAATTGAAAGACTTAAAACCATTATTTTTAGACTATTAAGAGTGAATAATAATAGTATGAATGAAAGTGCATTAGAGGTTTAGGGCACTAGTGAAACAAACCCGAGAGGAATCGGGTGCGAAACGTGCGCAAACGCGCACTATTAAAAAGTTGACTTTAAGACACTTTTGGGCCACACATTTGAGCTTCTTAAGAAGCCTTATCATCAGCAAAAACTCCCTCCTTTTTGCTCCAAGACAGCCGAAACCAAGAAGAAGAAAAAGAGACCAAAAGCTCTTCATTTTCTTGCTCATTCCTCCACCATTTCACCTCAAAATTTAACCACACTTCACTAAACACTTGGTGATCATCTTAAGTTACAAAAGGGGGCTGCTTTCCACGGTTTTCTTGGACATTTTTGGACTGAAATTTTGCCTTAGGTTCATCCAAGCAAGTAAGTGACAATCCACCTTAAAAATCTTGATTTATAGAAGTAGTATTGCACTTATAAGCTTGTATATTCATGTGGGTAACTTTATTTATGATGGAAAATGTTGTGTGGGTTCTATGAACTCCCATTATGGTTGGATGGACTGATTTGTTGTGTTTTGATGGTATTAATGTTGGTTTAGTGCTTAAACTAGTGGAATAATGTTGTATTGTTGGTAGAAACTCAAAGGGGAGTGAAGGAGAAAATTTTTCAATTCTGCCCCTATGTTGTCCGTGACCCTTAGGGTGATTTTTCATAGTTCTAATGACTTATTTATGATTTATATATGTTGTGTGGGTTGTGTAAAAAGTTTCATAAAAAAATAACGTGATTTGGTTGGCCAAACGTTGTGATTTCGGATGTTCGGCAAATCTGGAAATTTTCCTGTCACTGCCCTGGCAGTGTTTTTCAAACGGCCATAACTTTTTACTCCGATATCGAAATTGAGTGCCGTTTGTGGCTTTGGAAACTAGATATTCCCAGATTTTCAATAGTATAAAATTCATGTCCAGACTCCACCTGAGTGAACCGTACCACTCATTTGAACATGACTGTACTGTTTCGCTGGTTCATTGGAGTCCACGTCTTGAGCTGCAACTTGATGCTCAAGGATGAGCTAGTTGTGGACAGATTTTAAAACTGATTTTTTCTGAGAAATTGTAACCTTATGAATGAAGTTTTCAATGCCACCAACTATGCTTAATTCCAAGTTGAATTGAGTGAGATATGGCCAAATTACAGACCTGATTTTGCTTGAAAATCCTCTTTTGGCTAGTTAAATGGCCTATCTTGATTTGGGACTTGTTGTTTGGAAACTTTGATGTCCAACATCTACCAAACTTTATATTAGATGTTCCTTAGACTTTGTTTCACAAATAAACCAGATGCTTAATCAGATGAAATTCAACAGAGGAATAGTTCTTATATGATAGTATAATACTGCCAAATTTGGTGCCATTCCGAGTCCGTTTCAATGCTTAACCAAAGTCCCAAAGTTTGTGATTTGAACCTGGAAATTGCCTAAAAGTTTTGATTTTTCAGCAACTTTGAGCTACTATATCTTGGTGCTCAAAACTCCAATTCTTGTTTGCTTGTTATGTTTTAAACTTTGTTTGTGACTCTAATTGAGTTCCAAATTTCAGAGGCTGGTTCACATTGTGTGAATTTTACTGAATTTCCAAACTTTGCTGAAAACCAACCCCGAAACTGTCTCGCAAGCCAAAACAGCAACTTTGAGACAAATTTTGAATACCTTCCGTTTGGAATCATGGAAAAGTGTCTTCTAAAAACTTTTATTACTTTGGAAGTAGTTTCCAACGGTATCAAGTTTTCCAATTTTGGACTCATAGAGAGTGAGATCTGATTTTTCAAATTTTGCTTGCTGAATCTGAAATTTCCGAACTTAAAGGAAATTGAGGGTTTCAAACTCTCCATTTTCCTCCGATATATTGCCAGACCGTTTTACACTTGATTTCAAAGGCAAAAATCAGATTTCTCTTGTGTTTTTGAAACCCACTTCCGAGCCTCGATTATAAATAATTAAGGCTCAATTCATGAATTCTCCTTAGATTGTATACTAGTACAACTTTCTTTGATAAGTAAGGGTTCGAAGTGATAGTGTATAATAATTGATGGTTATTTACTCAGGCGCTCAAGGGGACTTTCAAGAGCGACTCGGAGCGGACGCCTAAACACTTGTTTGGGCGCTTACTCACTTGTTTTGACTAGGTGAGTGTTTCATATAGGAGTACGTAATTTCAATAAGTCTATGGCATGCTTATTCCATGATCATTAAGTGTTAAATACTACATGTCAAGTATTTACCACACTCATGCATATTTAAGTAAAGTATACTTGAATTACTAGACATAAAATACTTGAAATGCATATTTACGTGAAGTGTTGCAATGATTAATTATACTATGGCTGCATAAGTCGATTGGAGTGAATCTGCTCGACTCTTAAGTGGTAAAAGTGGGAAATGGCCAATGGCGGCCTATTAAAATGGCAAATATCTGCTTATTAACCGTAATTACTTACCGTAAACCGTTAATCGTTAATCGTTAACCGTTAACTGAAATTACTTACCGTTTGCCAACCCACTTGACTACCTGCTTACTCGACTACCAATCGACTTGATTACCTGCTTATTTGATTATTTGACTACTTGATTATTTGATTACCATAAATTACATGTTTATATAAAATTGTCCACCATTTTAAGGCAAGTGTGTACTTTATCTCACTCGACCTACGAAAAGAATAGATTTTTACCGTTCGCCAAGTTATTTGATTACTTGTGCATGTTGTAAGTTCTAAGCTGAACTTGGGTCTTGCCCTTGGTTACTGACCTACTCGAGCCAGGACTGGACTCGGTCAGGTAGGTTGGAACCCTGGGCCACCATTTCAGTATATTCGAGTATTACCACTGGAGGGATAACGTGATGGTGGTCAGACAAACCGAGGGGATTCGGAAGTTATAAGGTGCAGATGACCGACATGGTTCCACTGGAACACCGTATCCTTCAATGTGTGTTTATTTTGCATAGAGATAACTATTTCATGCAAATGTACCAACATGCAAATCTTGTGTCATACCTGTGATATGTTCAAATTACTCGTACCATGATAATTATCTCATGTTAATGTGTCATACTTGTGATATGCTCAAAATACTCGTATAATGATAATTGTCTCATGTTCATGAGCCAACGTGCAACCCCGAACCATACATGTGGTAGCTCAATTACTTGATTTATTAAAACTGCTAGAGTGTCTTGGAACCTCACTGGGCTGTGTAGCTCATCCCACGTTTTTGTTTTCTTTAACAGGGTTCAAGACCAAGAGTGCACGTGAATAGTACAAGATAGCTTTCTTTTGAAAATTTAAAGTTGTATTATAGTAGATGGTTATAGTACATATTCCTTTGGGTTGTACTTAAGCTTGAAAGCTAAATAATTGTAAGTGTGAAATATTTTGGAGTACTTTAATTATGTATTGAAATTATTTGAAGTATTCTGAACTTTTGAATTGTGGATTGTCGTGAGTCCTGGCGAGAGCTGGGCAGGCGTCCCACAGATACCCTTTGGTTCGCCTTAGGGAGAAGTGGGAGCGTCACAGTCTAGATTTCCAAATCAAAGGGAGTTAAATTGAATATTTGTCAATCCGCAGGAAATTATAGTATAGCTTTCTAAACCAAAGGGAGTTAAATTAAACATTTGTCCAATCACAAGGAACTTTTTTGTTATTTTATCCATAATTCAATTATGAAGTCAATTTTAATAGCTTATATTACAGCCTTTGCCTAAGATTAGGTCATCTTTATTTTTTTAGCTTAACCCTAAAATTAGACGATTACCAAGAGCCTTTCTTCTTGTGTTGCGAGAAATGCTAAAGTTTCTTTCTTGTCCTAGATAAATTCTTGTAGTTACGACATGGCAATATTATACTGTAAATCTTCCTTACTATTTGTGCATTTTTCCAGACTATTGTATGGATAGAAACTATTTTTTAAAAAGTTTTTCTCAAGGTTTTCTAAACATGTTTCTACGATTTTTTTTTATATTTTACAAATACCTTTTTATCTCACAAATACCATATCATAAAAAGTTTTACCATAATTAAAACTAATTTTTTCCAAATAAGCTTCAATTGTCAAGGACTCATTTGAACAGTTTTTGCCATGGAGGTTACTAGACATGAAGAAAAAACTAATTTTTCCAAATAATCTCCAATTGTCAAACACTCACTCCAAAAGTTTTTGCCACAGAGGCAACTGAAGATGAAGAGAAAAATAATTTTCCTATTTAGTCCAATTTTTGGTATGGTGAAAGATGGAAGTTTAAAAAAAATAACAAACAAAAATATATTGGATGTTTGCTATAATAAAATTTGCAACTGATGCAGAATATTAGAAATTTCAAATGTTGATCGTTCATAGTACTGGTCTTTATATCTATCTATATAGTATTCTTTGTCTATATCATTTCTGGATTTACTTTGCCATAGGTAATAGAAATCTAATGATAAAAAGAAAAAAATCATGTAAGACTAATAGACTACCATTATTAACATAACACTCTAAGAGCCAAAGGTGTTACTGTTCATTCACTTTTTCGTCGTCGGTATCACGTGCCAGAGGCGTGTCTTTTTTTTTTTTTTTTCGGTGACCAGGGAACTGTGAAGAAGAGCCACCTTAAACGCGTGCTCATTGTAATAATTCCCAAGCTTGGGGTTAGTGGGGTTTGCCAGGGGAAGGAAAACGCTGTCATAATTAGGGGCCTGGGAGGAGGAGTTTCTGTTTGCTTTTCCTGATAGTCAGCAGAGAAAAGTTCCCAGTTGTGATTTCGTCTCTTCCGGCCATTTCCTTATGGCTTCCCGTTTCTTTTCCTAATTTCCTTTCTTTCTCCTGATTTCTTTTCCTAATTTTATTTTAAGGCGTTATACTCTCATCTTGGTTTCACCATTTTCTTTTCTTGCGTCGATGTTGGTGGCTTTCAGCGGAGAAAAGTTCCCAGTTGTGATTTCGTCTCTTCCGGCCATTTCCTTATGGCTTCGTGTGCTAATTATACAAACGAGTCTTCCTGTTTGCCCAATTGGTAGAGTTGCTCTCTTGTGCATTTATCATTTTCTTTTAACAGCACTTCTAAGTTTTAGATTCTGTATCCTTGGGTTGGGCATCTACTTTCTTGGAATACGCTACTGAGAAACAAGGCAACCCAGAGAAATAAGAATAAGGAATGCCCTATTAACATAACACTCTAAGAGCCAAAGGTGTTACTGTTCATTCACTTTTTCGTCGTCGGTATCACGTGCCAGAGGCGTGTCTTTTTTTTTTTTTTTTCGGTGACCAGGGAACTGTGAAGAAGAGCCACCTTAAACGCGTGCTCATTGTAATAATTCCCAAGCTTGGGGTTAGTGGGGTTTGCCAGGGGAAGGAAAACGCTGTCATAATTAGGGGCCTGGGAGGAGGAGTTTCTGTTTGCTTTTCCTGATAGTCAGCAGAGAAAAGTTCCCAGTTGTGATTTCGTCTCTTCCGGCCATTTCCTTATGGCTTCCCGTTTCTTTTCCTAATTTCCTTTCTTTCTCCTGATTTCTTTTCCTAATTTTATTTTAAGGCGTTATACTCTCATCTTGGTTTCACCATTTTCTTTTCTTGCGTCGATGTTGGTGGCTTTCAGCGGAGAAAAGTTCCCAGTTGTGATTTCGTCTCTTCCGGCCATTTCCTTATGGCTTCGTGTGCTAATTATACAAACGAGTCTTCCTGTTTGCCCAATTGGTAGAGTTGCTCTCTTGTGCATTTATCATTTTCTTTTAACAGCACTTCTAAGTTTTAGATTCTGTATCCTTGGGTTGGGCATCTACTTTCTTGGAATACGCTACTGAGAAACAAGGCAACCCAGAGAAATAAGAATAAGGAATGCCCTATCGGAAACAAGAGAACCCAAAGAAATAGAAATAAGCTATTACTGTTTAAAAAAAAAAAAAAACTATATTGCTGGTAATTTCCGATCTGTCCATTACAGAAACTGGAATTTTTTACATAGCAATTGCGAAGTACAGAAGTAGAAGGAAGAATTTGATAAATACAAATTGCGCTCCGCTGCCTTTTTCCTTAGAAAGACTTTTTCCCCTTTAGAAAAAAAACACCTTTTCCTCTCAGCTATAGCTGCTTAGCTCGCTGCTTACTTTCACCTTGAATGCAGCTACTTTTATTTTTTTTCCAGCCTGTATTTTTTTTTCCAATCTCAATGTTAACTAGATTTTTTGACTCTTTTGCCTTGTACGACAACGGCACGTTTAAATACCCTCATTTATATTTTTCATGTTTCCAAATAGTTTTAGTTTCGCGTTTTTGTCCCCTTCCAATATATTAATCATACATATATATGCCTTCATCCCTTCCGAACACGTTGTACTATCTTTTCTTTTCTATACTGTTCATATGTCGTGCCTTTCTGTTTATTTTTTCCCTCCATATATGTGTGATTGGTCTCTTAAATTTTGATGCTTATTACCCATTTTTTGCCCCGGATACCCACTTAACGCCATTTTCTGCTAACATTCATTGGGATACTCCAAGCTTTGAATAGATCGCACGTTTTCCATCAGCGTCAGATCCATTGTTCTTTGCAATGTTCAGTTTTGCCTTCGTTGCTTCTATCGATCTTTACCAGTTTTTGTGCAATGTCAATAGTCATTCACAGGGATCTTCGTATGATAGCCGTGCAGAGATAGTAGCCATACAAAAAAAAGGTCAGCTTTTTACTATTTTTAGCCTTCTTTACATGGATCTTCGTTTCAGCCCAATAGCCGTGCAGAGGAAAAAAGGTCAACGCTTTGCTACTTTTAAACTTCTTTGCATAGATAGTAGCTAATGAAAGTCCCCTTGCCTGCTCTTTAATCTTTTTTCCCGTTGCCTGCCTCGACCAGTGTGCTTACAATGTTCTATTAAGCCTTCTGCTTTATCTGGGCTTCTTCCCTTCCTTTGTTTCTTCTCCTTGCTTTACAGTCAGGCAGCCTTTCTTGCCATCAGGTTGGTGAGTAAAGCTTTTCTGCATGCCTCTTGCATCCTTTATTTACAATGTACACCATACGCTTGCTAATTTTTTTCCTTTTGTGCTTACACATTTTTTTTATATTTTCTCCCTGTCTTTGTACTTTCCAGTGGAGCTTTCTTCCAAGAGTCACACAGCAAGCTCGGTTGCTTCTCTCGTTGTTTCTTCTTTTTTAAGGTATTATGATTTTCATTAAATAGTCAAATATCTGCTTTAGTGCCTTTACTTGTCATTAAAGATGTTTACAGTCCATTCTATATAACTAATAGTTTAGTTTTTCGTCATAGCTGCGCTTTAGCTCCTTTATTTTAATCATTACCTTTTCAGCTGTGCTCCTTGCTTTTCATGCTTTTCCTATTGTGAGACCAGTTTCCCTTGCATCATTACTCACTTTGTGATCAATGGCACTTTTTTCGTGCACTAGCTATGTTGTTATGGATTTTTTTGACCTTCTATAAAATCTATCAGGCCGCTATGGTCCTTTGCATATTCTATGGATATGTACTTTTCGTTTTAGCTCCTGCTTCTTTCTTGCTTAGTGTAGTAAGATCCGTACAGCCTTATTCTTGGTTGCATGGACTACAACTTAGTTCGCCGTGGTCGTTATGCGGCCATGGACAAAGACAAAAAAGATGCTTTGCTTCAGCGTAGAAGAGATGCTTATGCTGCAAAGAAAAACACTTCCCATGTCCCAAAGGATAGCACTGAACCTGCCTATCAAACTAAGCTATATACACATAAGGCAGGAAACTCTGCATCTGGTTCACCATCTACATTGCAACAGATAGACGTATCTGCTCTTGCATCTAAGGTGTCGCATGCTGATCAGCAGAGCCTTATTGAAGCTTCTGCTCCTCTTATGCGTCGACCAAAGAAGTATAGGAGCCGCCGCATAAAGCATTCTTGTGATATTCCATCTGCTTCGCAACAAATGAATGCATCTGCTTCTATCCCTGAGCCGTCTGATAACCATGATGCCCAATTGCCCGTGCATGCCCATGAATTAGCTGATCTTTTTGACTCTATTGCAAATCGCTTGAATTCTAAACTTGAAACCCAGTCAACTCCTCACCACCCTTATTCCTCTATTTCTCCCTCTTCTGTACAACCATCATTGGAAGGTACATATTTATTGATTGGTATCTTCATTCCTCATTAGGTTTCCTCACAGCTTTGCTCCTGCTTTATTAATGGTTAAGTGCTAATGATCTGTTATACCAGTTCCTGCTGTTCTGCCTATAGAGGAAGGTACCTGTGTTATTGGTCTAGATAATGCTCAGCCATTCGAGTCTCAAAACAGACCAACCATTGTCGTAAATACATCTGTTCCTTCCAGAGGTAGGTGAATGCCTGGTAATTAGTATATATATATATATATATATATATATATATCCTTAGGGCTGTGTTGCATTGTTGCGTGCTTTTCCGAAACTCCCACGGCAATGATATATTTTTCATCATTGCACCAGGGAAACGGAAAAAAACCTCACGCTTGGATAAGATTCCAGATAGCCCTCTTGTGCTGCCACAAGCTCCAGACTGTAAACATTGTGGAGCAAAAAGATTTCATTTAGAGCCCCCCAATTTCTGTTGTTCCGGAGGAGAGGTTTCTGTCGTCATCCCAGTCATGCCTTATAGCCTTTACCGTCTTTTTTCTGGTGTGGACGAGGAATCAGTGGAGTTTAGGAAGAACGCTCGTACCTACAACAATAACGTGGCTTTTACATCTTTTGGTGCCAAATATGACCATGAATTAACAAAAAACACCAAGGGAGTTTACACCTTTCGAGTTCAGGGACAGGTCTACCATCTACTGAATGGCTTAGTTTCTCAGAACAATCAACCAACAGGGATTCAGTTGTACTTTTATGATCAAGAAGAGGAATTGTCTAAAAGGCTCAGCAGCTCACCCAGGTTACGCGAGAGTACCCTCCGTCTCTTAATGCGAATCTTAGAGTCTAACCCTTACACTAAGTTCTTTAAGAACCTTCGGCATGTTAACAATCTTGAAGATCATAGGATCGTTCTTAATTGTAACCCTGAGCTGGATCAAAGGGTATATAACTTGCCCACTTCGTCTCAAGTTGCTGCAATTTGGACTGAATCTGAAGATGAGGCACTTGAAAGAAATGCTCACATTCAAGTTTATACCCACTCAAACACCAGCCATAGGATACAACACTATTTTTCATGCTATGATACATTGCAGTATCCTCTCCTGTTTCCACATGGTGAGTCTGGTTGGCATCATGGTATCTTAAGAAATTCTGCTTCTAGGAAACGAAAAAGAAGCTCTTCGGATGATGTTGATCTTCCTGATGCTTCTTTAATAGGGACTGCATCAGACCTTATTCGCCTAGAACAAGAAGGCAAGTCTAACTTATATGTTCTGCTAGCTTTTTTGTTTCCGTTAGCTTATTAAGTTTGTGTATAAATTATTTGTATGTTTTGCTTTTCCTTGCTTAGCTGCTGAGCGTGGAAAAAAGGAACGCCTGACTGTCTCTGCTAGGGAATATTATTGTTACTTGCTTCAGATGAGAGAAGCGGATAGGTCCATGTTGTTGCACACCGGCCGGTTGTTGCAACAGTTTGTTGTGGATATATATGTTAAGATTGAGACATCTAGGCTTGACTTCCATAGAAAAAATCAGAATGATATTAGAACAGAAATTCTCCAGGGTGTCATGGATAGTATAGCTGCAGGAAAGAGTGAGGGGAAGCAAGTAGGCCGGAGGGTATATCTTCCATCTTCCTTTATTGGCGGCCCCAGAGATATGCGGCGTCGTTATGTGGATGCAATGGCGTTAGTTCAAAAATTTGGCAAACCCGATCTGTTCATTACTATGACATGCAATACCCAATGGAAAGAGATTCAAGAAAATTTAAAATATGGAGAATCGGCACAGGAAAGGCCAGATCTGGTTTCTAGGGTGTTTAGAGCAAAGTTTGAGATGCTCAAGGCTGAAATACTTAAGAAAAAAATATTCGGTGAAGTTGCAGCGTGCGTTCATGTAATTGAATTCCAGAAAAGAGGCCTTCCCCATGCTCACATACTCTTGATTCTTAAGCCTGAATATAAGCTGTTAAGTCCAGAAGCTTATGACCGAATTGTTTCTGCTGAGATCCCAGATCCGGATAGCCAAAAATATTTATACTCTCTTGTTGTCAGGCATATGATGCATGGCCCTTGTGGACAGTTGAAGCCTGATAATGTTTGCATGAAAAATGGGTTTTGCAAGAACCATTTTCCAAAAGATTACTGTGACTTCACTATCCATTCAGAAGATTCCTATCCACATTATAGACGTCGAAGGAATGGTCCAACTGTAAGAGTGCGCAAACAGTTATTAGATAACCGCTGGGTTGTCCCGTATAATCCTTACCTTCTTGCGCTGTTTGATTGCCACATGAATGTTGAGGTTTGCTCAACTGTCAAGCTGGTCAAGTATTTATACAAATATGTCTACAAGGGCCATGACCGTGTAAGCTTTCATGTTCATTCTGGTTCTGGCCCTGAAGACATTGACGAAATCAATGAGTTCCAGTCCGGAAGATGGGTTGCTGCTGCAGAGGCATTTTGGCGTATCTACAGATTTTCACTAAATGAAATGACTCCCTCTGTTTACACTCTTCAATTACACCTTCCAGGACAACAAATGATTTCTTTCCATAAAAATACTGATCTTGCTGACCTTTTGGACCGTGCCGCTTTTAAAAAGACCATGCTTACACAGTTTTTTCGTATGAACCGGACCAATAAAGCAGCTCAGAAGCTTAATTGCTTGTATCGTGAATTCCCTGAATATTTTGTTTGGAAGCCAGAGAAAAAAAAATGGTCTCAGAGGAAACGAAAAAAGGTGATTGGTAGAATGGTGACTGTAAGTCCAATTGAAGGTGAACGTTATTATCTTAGGCTGCTACTGTCTCATGTTCGTTCTCCCAAATCCTTTAAGGATCTTTTGACTATTAATGGCAAGCTTGCATTATCGTATAGAGAGGCTGCCTTTCAGATGGGTCTTCTCCAATCTGATACTCATGTAGAGGACACTCTTGATGATGCAGTGGCATTTCAAATGCCATATTCACTGAGGACTTTATTTGCAATTTTGTTGGTTTACTGCTCGCCCAGTGATCCAAAGTCATTGTGGGAAAAATATGAGGCTGCCCTGTCTTCTGATTTTGAAAGAAATAAAGATCTTTCTGGTTACGATTCAGAAGAAGTTAGGAGGCGTGTTCTGCAAGATATTAATAAAATGTTGGAACAAATGGGAAAAAATGTTGGTGATTACCATCTTGTGCCTGACAACTTTCACCTTGCTCCTGATGAACAGGTTGCAAAAGAAATTCAGAATGAACGAAATATTCCATTTACTGAGGAGGACTTACTTTTGTCTTCGAAGTTGAACATAGGTCAGAGACATGCCTATGATGTTATTATGTCTGAAGTTCTCTCTTCAGGGAGTAAAAGTTTTTTTGTTGACGGGCCTGGTGGAACAGGAAAGACATTCCTTTATCGTTCCATTCTTGCAACGCTCAGGTCTCGTGGTCTCATAGCAATAGCTGTTGCTTCGTCTGGTGTGGCTGCTTCTATTCTTCCGGGAGGCCGGACTGCGCACTCGCGCTTTAAAATTCCTTTGGATGTGTCCGCAAACAAAATTTGCCAGATTAGCAAACAAAGCTCTGTTGCAAGGCTGATCACGCTTGCTAAGCTAATTCTCTGGGATGAAGCATCCATGACTAAAAAAGATACTGTTGAAGCATTTGACTTGTTACTAAAGGATGTCATGGATTCTAATAAACCTTTTGGAGGTAAGGTTGTGGTTTTTGGAGGTGACTTCCGACAAACCTTGCCTGTTATACCAAATGCTTCAAGGGACCAACAGATTGAGGCTAGCTTTGTTCATTCACCTTTATGGAGAACTCTTCAGAAAATAACTTTAGAGGAGAATATGCGCGCTATTTCAGATCCCCAATACTCAGAGTTTCTTTTGAGAGTAGGAGAGGGACATGAGCCAGAAGATGACGAGGGGAAAATATCTCTGCGTAAGGACATATTAATTCCATTTGATACTAAAGATGGCTCGCTTAATAGGTTAGTACACGTTCCACAATCTTAGCTTACATTATTTGCATTTTTTCATGCTTAGTATATACATGTATATCTAACCAGCCTCTTATTTACTTAGGTTGATAGGCTTCGTCTTTTCAGACCTGCATGCTTATTCGATCGATCCATACGCAATGATCAACAGGTGTATCCTTACGCCGAAGAATTCCTGTGTTGATGACATCAATGATGTGCTCATTGATCGTTTCCCTGGACAAGCTTTTGTTTTCATGAGTACAGACAGGACTCTCAATGAAAAAGATCAGGGAGATTATCAAGACTTCCTGAACTCTTTGAATCCAAAAGGATTACCCCCCCATAAATTAGTCTTAAAGGAAAACTGTCCGGTCATTCTGCTTAGGAACCTAAATCCCGCAGAGGGATTGTGCAACGGAACACGGCTTATTTGCAAACACCTTAGACAACATGCCCTTTGTGCAGAAATTGCAGTAGGCCAACATCGAGGCAAGAGAGTGATTCTGCCTAGGATTCCCCTTCAAACATCTGATAATGAAAAAAATGGCATTCCTTTTAAACGAACACAGTTTCCAGTGAAGCTGTGCTTTGCCATGACCATCAATAAGTCACAGGGCCAGACATTAGATCGAGTTGGTATCTATCTACGTGAACCCGTGTTCTCACACGGACAATTATACGTTGCTTTGTCTCGGGCTAAAATGTCCAGTGCAGTTAGAGTCCTTATAATGCCACCAACATTTTTTGCTACTAAAACTGTACCTGAATCTAGAACAAGGAATGTTGTCTACCGTGACATCCTTGAATTAGCTGCTAAATGACTATCTATACTAAGGTATTGCCGGCTCGGTGGATTTATACACGCCTTTTCTGAATTTGCTAGCAGTTTTTATCTAACTTGCATCTTTATTTGCCTTCTGTTTTTGCTTTACCATGACCTTATGGATTTTCGTACACCTTTGGTGCAGAATGGGTGACCTTTTGTTCATTGATGACATCAAGCCTGGAATGAAATCTTGGACAGCTATAGTAACGGTCCAAGAAAAATTGAATGTTGGCTCTGCACCCTCCACTCCAACAAAATGGCAAAAGTTTATTTTTGTTGACTCAAATGTATGCTTATATTACTTTTCAAAGCTTGTTATCAAGATCTATTTTCCCCTGATGCTATGTATCTTTGACAGTTATTAATGCCTTCATTATTTTGTACTAAGTATCCATAAAATAGCCAATTTTCCCTATGGAACTTGTTTTTCCAGGGGTCAAAGGTCCAGGGAGTGCTTTTTGACTATGCCATACAGAAAATGGGGCCTAAGCTCAAGCTTTACAAAAAATATCGCATCTCAAATGCTGAAGTCAGGGCTGCTGCTGAAAGGTTCCAGCTTGATGGACTTAAACTCCAGTGGATTATAAGCACCAAAACTGTTGTTGAAGAAATTGATGAAGCTGATTCAAGTGTGTTGCCGTTCCACTTTGATTTCACGGCTTATAAAGACCTGCCTCCTTACGTAGACATGAAATATGAAACTGTTGGTCAGTATAAAACACACTTTATCACTTGTTTTCTATTGCACTTATATGAAAGAAAAGTTGTATCTGATTTTTTCTTGCCTGTTCTGCTTAATATAGATGTCATTGGAATAGTCATTCATGCATCGGCGATTATTCCAATCCACAAAGATTCACGTGAATTACTGGTGCAAAAATTTTGGCTTGTGAATGAAGAGTAAACTCTTTTCTTGTTCTTTCTTTGCTGTATTATGACTCCTGAAACAGTTGCCACACTTACCCCGTCATTGTAAAAAATAACAGCCATTTCTCTGTTCTTGCTATTACATAGAATGAATCCTATTCTGCTGTCTCTTTGGAATGAGTTCACTGAAAATCAAGGAAAATCTATCACTGATCTGAAAGACAAGCATCCCGTTTTAATATGTCGCAGGCTCAATGTTGTTATGTACAATGGTAAGTGGAATAATTGTTGCTCCTCATGCATAATTATATGTTATGTTCACCTGCCTTTGTATTAATGCTTTGTCTGGCTATCTCTGTCTACTAGGAATTGCTTTGTCAACTAGGAATGACTCAGTTATTCTTGTCAATCCACCAGTCAGAGAAGCTAATCAGCTAAAGCATTGGTTTTTTTCTTTCCTTCCTGAGATTTTTCCCATATCTTCTCACATGCCATTACTTATCATTTCGTATTACCATTTGCATTCATGCTTTTCAACAGGGCTGCCAGGAATGAAAAAAGCTTTGCGGGGCTTCTTCAGGATAACATGCATGCTAAACAAAGTCCTCAGCTATTTCACGAATCACATCAGAAAATTATTTCTATCATTGATGTTGTACCAACGCAAAAGGTTTGCATTTGTACCCATTTTATATTTTTTCCCCTTTTTCCAGTATGCAGCAAAAAACTAACCTACCTTTTTCTTTTTGTAATACTTTTTAGGTTTCATGGGTTAAGGCATAGATTTCTTTCAAACACATTGTTCAAAAATACTATTACATGGGTTGCATAAAATGCCACCGCATGACTGCTGCAAACTTTGGAACTACGTTTACTTGCAATCACTGTAATGAGAAACAACAGGCTTCTCCCAGGAAAGCAATCTCGACTTGCAATTCATTGCTTTATGTGAAAGTACAGGTTTTCCTCAAAGCCAATGTATTGTCTAATCTTAACTCGAGCTTTATTACATACAGGTGTCGCTTTGATGTAGACCTCACTGACCACACTGATACACTCACTGCATCTGTGTTTGGTGACTTAGCTGAAACTTTGCTCACATTTACTGCACTTGAAGCAATGAATTATCACGAAGAGGTTGGATACATATCCATAAAAAAGGCTTAAAGAAATTTTGCACAAATCGATGACGCTTTTATTTCTTTTATATATAGAATGCAGAATTGCCGCTAGAAAAAGTCCATCAGGAACTACAATCAAAGATGTTCACAATACAGCTAAAGCCAGCAGCTACCAGGGATGGAGGAGGTCATCAGCGTTATACAATTGTCTATTGTTTTGAGGATGCAAGCTCTGAAGAATCTGCTAACAAGTCTGCAAATCCTAATGTCCAGACTTGTTTTGAGGAAGTTGGCAATACTGTCCCAGCAAGTGTAGCACCAGGTTTGTATGCGTTTAAAAAAACTTTTATAGCTATACATCCTTAATCTATTAGGTTCACTGATACTTCTCAATAAATTGCTTTTAGAAAACCAAGTTTCTTCATCAAAGGTGCGAATTCGTCTTGATACAAAGTTTGATCAATCTGAAGATGCAAACGACAATACATCCAAAGACGAGAAGGCATCCATCAGCAAAAAGGCAAAGAAAAATTGATTGCCTTTCCGTTCCTTAGTTTTCTGGCTATGAATTCAGATGTCTATGTCTTTTGCTAATGCTTAAAGCATTCATTTTGCTGCAGCTTTTGAAACTATATATCGAACTTATAACCTACCTTTTTGAAGTCTTAGCTTTATCAACCATCTGAACAGATGTCTGACACGTATTGCTATCCCTTATTAGTCATTACATTATCTGCTGCAATTCTATATATATTAATTGTCTGACTTTTGTCAATAGCTTGACAGCTTTTAACGTCTAAATGCCTGCTTCCAATTAATGCAAACAACAACTATATTCATTGTTGCACACTTGCATTATAGCCAATGCTTCATCCACCTTCCACCAAACTCATTTATATTAAATGCCTCTCTCTCGCTCTTTTTCTCAGCTTATTGTTTAAAAATGCTACAGAGTCTATTCATGCATTGTTTGTGTTCTCCTTTCCTTCCAGCTGCTCCTCCCCTTTTTAAGCCTTTTCCTACATAACAAGGCGTCCAAATGTGCAGCTTCGATGCGAATATATCCAAACATAAACTTTAATCCCAGCTCTTTGTACAGTAGCCAATTCCTCCACCAAACCTTTGTACTTAGCATTCCTTCCTAACATTTCCCCATACATACTTAGCGGTAGAAATGAATGGGAAAAAAAATCCGTTTAAAAGATGGGAGTTAGTTCGAGTTGCCAACAAAGTGAAGTTTTATCTTCGCACATTTGATCATACAAAGATTCATGCAGCAACCGGTGTTAGAAACCAGGAGGGAAAAATAGTATACTCTGTCGAAAAAAAATTTGCAGAGGCTTTCCCCATGGTATTTACGTGCATGGGTGAACCATCATTATTTTCACTTGCTTCGGTTAAACAATGGTTGCAAAATATCATCCTTATTTCTTCACAGGCATTCGTCCCCCAAGGCAAGTATCCTTTCCTGATTACACCACTGTTATAAAATACATGAAAATCTTATTGTTTTTCTTTTTCCCATAGATCCTCCAAAGATTACTCGAATATTAAATGGACAGCCTTGGTGTTATGTACTCTTTTGCACAGATATGGAGAACCAGGTGCTTTTAATAACCAATTCTGGCTCTTGGATTACGTTTATCATATATTTACAGATCTCTTCTATTCGCAGGACATTCCTGTGGAAATGTTTCAATATAATGGCTTTGCAGAAGGACAGACCATTACAGTTAAACATGGCCTTGCTGAATGGAGTCTAAAAATCACAGATCATTGTTTTGGAGGCGAATGGAACCTTTTTTGCAAACACAACTATATTGACCTAAATGACATGCTTTTCTTGCGAAAAAGATCAGATTTCATATATGATGCACTGACTTTCTCGAGCAATTGTCTACAAATCTGGACACGCTGGACCTTGCCCTTATCAATGATCCCTTACGAATTCTTCGTTTCACAAGGAAGCTACAATTCTATTGCTCTTATACTGTGTTCCTATGTTATATATGCACTCACACATTCTTTCCTTTCATTACAGAAGATATCAAAAGCCAGCCGAGTGCAACTTTGATCACCTCGTCAATCAATCGATTCTTCTCTCACGATCTTATGGCATTAGATGCTTTTTACCAAATTTTTTCTTCCGATGCTAAGTATTCAATGGTGTGCGTTTTCTCCCGTTAAACATATCCATGGTTTTCTAATCCACTTCTCCTTTTTTTATCTTTATTACACAAATTTGTTTCTTTTCCAGGAAGTTCCCGAGCATGCTCATCCAAGATTACATGAATCAAGAACCCCAACTATGGTCCTCACAAGTGGAACTAAAAACTATATCATTGGAATGACCGACAACAGATTTCACCAAAACTGGAACAAATTTGTTGATGATCATGGTCTTCACCAAGGAGAAATACTTGTATTCATACCCCAGTCCCGTACATCCCTTACTGTTTTAATTTTCGGAATCAACGGCATAGAAATCATGTATCCATGGCATCATACATTTTACCTTTAATATATTTGAATCTTTGATTACCAAATTAGTTAGCTCTTTACATTTCTCCCATGGTTTTCGTTTGTTAACCAAAACATGTACTTCCAATATAATTTCTGATCTACATTTACTTATCAGCAATCCCAACTCCTATTTACATAATTTTAACCCTTCATGGGCATTCGCATTTTATATTCCACCGCGCGAAGTGCGGTTTACCTCTCCTAGTTGTATAATAAGTTGTAACATTGTACGAAAATCTACTAAAGCAGTGTGCTACAATTTTGGTTCGGATGTAATGAATTCAATTCTGAGGAATTAAAAATAATAATAACTTTAACTTTAATAATATCCATAGATTTGATTACTTAACTCATTTCAAATGTAACAAATATCAGCTAGGAAATAGCAGGTTGGACTTCTAGCTTTGTGTTTACTGCCCACCATTAGTTATTTAGGGGCCATTGAGCTCCTTCTTGCTGTTAATATTTATGGGAAAATCGTTCAAAAAATCCCTCACATTTTACAAGATGACTTTTTTCGTCATTCACTTTTAAAAGTGTAATTTAACATCCCTTACAAATTTATATTGACCAAATTTGATCCCTACCTAGGTTTCCGACTAATTTTTTGTCGGAATTCATCACGTGACTTGCATGTGATCATTTTTTAAGGACAAAATTATCAAATCAATTTTTACATAATCTGATTCATAGTCCCTCACATTTCACAAAATGAATTTTTTCATCCCTCACAATTTTCAAAATAAATTTTTTCATCCCTCATTGATCATGTGTACGAAATAGCTTTTTTCTATAAACCCACGTATATGTATATTTAATTTTATCTAAACAGTATGAATAACATATAATTCATCTCTATTGGATTTTATCTAAACATGCTAATCGTAGTTATACACATTTTATTCAATAGATCTATAGAGGGGTTTAAAACTAATAATTTTGTTTGAAACCCATGTATATATTTATATGATTTTACCATTTAAACCTATTCAATATTTGTGACCTTTCTCCTTTGGTAATAATTTATTTATTGAGTTGTATAATAAGATCATCTAATTAATGGGTCCTAACTCGAATTTTATAATTGTGCTAACAAATTTCAATTTAAATTTGAAATTTCTACTCGACACATTTAAGACCAACAGTTGAATTACTTGCCTTGTGATTGTTTTAAAATTTGAAAGTGCTAATCATTTATTTCTTTTTGTCATACTTTTCTTTTGTTTACTTTTTTTGTCCAAATTTAATTCGATATAAACACTCGATAATATTTAGGATTAAATGTTTTCTTTATTTTCAAATTTTGAGTAAAAGAAAATGAATATAAGTGAAAAACTAACAATTTTTTTAAACCTATGTATATATCTATTTGATTTCACTTGAGTAGTACGAATAATATGTAATATATCTTTATTTGATTTCACATGCTATTCATACTATTCAGGTGAAATCAAATAGATATATACATGGATTTAAAAAAAATTATTTACATACATGATCAATAAAAGATGAAAAAATTTATTTTGAAAAGTGTGAAGGATGAAAAAGTTTATTTTGTGAAATGTAAGGGACGAAAAAATTTATTTTATGAAATGTGAGAGATTATGAATCAAATTATATAAAATTTGATTTGATAATTTTGCCCTTAAAACATGATCACATGCAAGGCACGTGGTGAATTCCGACCAAAATCTAGTCAGAAACGTAAGTCGGGACGAAATTTGACCAATGTAAATTTGTAAGGAATGTAAAATTGCATTTTTAAAAGTGAAGAACGAAAAAAGTTGTTTTATAAAATGTGAGGAACGTTTTGAATGATTTTCCCAATATTTATGATCAAATTCAATGGCTGTTGATCAAACTTCCTCAATTATCTCCTTAACTGAATTTAAAAGAACTTTAGGGATGCTAATTATCATCGGTACTGCATGCAAATCGTCATCTGTAGTTTATTATAATCCCATATTCAATTCTGGAGTTAACAAATTTTTTTCCCTAAAAAGTTCCGTCAACGCCTTAGTAGTCGCATCTACTCCAGGGGTCAATCTACTTTGCTGGAAAGTGGTTTAGGAAAATTGAACAGATCATTCTACACAAATGTTTCCGCTTCAGTATTCTGTTGTTCTTCTGTTATCACCCTGGCGTGCAACTGAGGTTGCATATTACTAGCAGAAGTTCGGACTTTTTGCTAGTGGTAGAACACAAAGCTTGTTACGAGTACTAAAAGTTGTATCCATGCCTGTTTTACAAGAAATTGTTCATAAAAAACCAACAGGAAAATGGTTGTGAGTTCTAACAGTTTTACTGATTATAATTTGTTGAGATTCTTAATGTCTCAAGGGACAAAGGGTTAGTCATGCTTCGCTGCTTCATTAGCTACAAAAATATCGTTCTTTCAACTAAAAATGATGATGCTTCGGTGCTTGCTGTGAGGATTCTCTGGCAATCAAATGGTTCATGACTTTTAGACCATGGAAATGGCCTAAAAGGAGAGAGGACAAGAACATAGATAACTTCAAGAAATTCTTGAGCCATCTCAAGTCATAAACAGTTCTGCATCACCATATGCTCAAATTACAAAGCGATTAAACACAAGGAGTAAATATCAACCTCAACATAACAAAATCACAAACAAAATCTAGTCATTAACAAGCTCCCGTTTTCCATGTCCCGATCCAAAAGCAAGATATGAAAATTGCACATTGCCATAGTTATGTAATTTCCCTAGCTATTACCAGTATGCAGAACTACTTTCAACCTGCGTTTTGTCACTATTACCAGCAGCCATTCCGGAGTTGGATTATGTTATTTCCTTGGAACAGCATCAACTACTCCCCATTGGCCGATCACAATTTATTGAAACATTTTCCTGAAGCTTCACCAGCAGACCTCCAAACAATTTTTATGTGAACACAATCTGGCAGTCGTTGTTGCATCTCTTGAATGACAAAATTTTGCTGCGAGCTCCAAAGTGTCCAAGCACACCAACAGTCATCTTTTTTAAAGCTTTCACATTCTGCAAAATATAGTCAATGAGCTTGAATTCATATTCCTTTCCATTGAATTTTCTGATTTTTACTTCCCTAAGATGTATCGGCAAGCATAATGGAACTGGCTCTGCAGAAAGAAACTCAAATTTCTTGTCTTCAGCAGAGGATTCAATCCTGTCATCCCAAAACACCTGCCATTTGGAGAAGAATTACAGACTGGAATATCTAATCGAATACATTGCAGTGAGAAAAAAGGATCATTGGGACTCACTTCATCAAAGACCAGCACTTGAAGATTAGGTGCACTCTCAAGTAACCAAGATAACATCTTCCAGCTACGAGTATGCTTATCATAATATTTGCGGACTTCAAGCTCAAGATAGGTTAGCTTTTCAAAAGTTGGCAGCAACTTTTGAGAATAAAAGAGTAACTTCAGGAAGAAACGAGAAAATTGATTAGACAAATAGCCACTTGGAAATTAGAAGTTCCAGTCATTCTCCAAATCATACCAAAAATAATTTGAGTTATGTAATAACCAAAGAAGAGAAAAGAAACTACCTCCACCGTGGCATCCAGCAAATAAAGTGATACCACACTTTGTGACGAATTCATAAGCTCAAAGGCAACCTCACAGCGTAATAATTGTTCTTGATCTGATGTTTTCACAATATAAGGGCAAGAAACTGATATTCTGGCTTCAACAAGAGACTTGTGGTTTGGGAGAATGTTTACTTTAACTGCATCGCCATCAAAGTGCAAATGTTGAAGCTTTGGGGCATTTATACTCGTTTTACTCGCTCCCTCAACCTCGCATTCCAAATTTACAGCACTAGGGATGTCCAGAACAATGTCCCATTCATCAGTCACACAATGGAGGTAGATTTTTTCCAGGGAAGGGCTTTTTATCAAAAGGGTCAGAACTTCACCCTCTGAATATGTTAAACAGTCAAAAGACAGTTCAATGAGCACAGGACAACCCTGAATAAGCCTGGGAATAGACAGCTCATCTGTTAATATAAATTGTGCCAAATGCAGAATCTTAAGATTCGGCAAAGAAACTGTCTCCGGGACATAGAAATCAGTAAAGCGACTTTCCAGCTTCATTTCTAGAAGTGTTTTGCAACTGAAAATTCCTGGACAGGACAAAATTCCCGGAGGAGAGAATGCATTGGAACGATCACGTCCCACAAAAACCTCAAGCTGCTGGACTCCGCAAGAAATTGCTGCACATATCAGAGAGTCAATTGCCACCCGAAAAATCTCAAGAAACTCTTCCAGGGAAAGATGGAATTTTGTCAAACAATACGGTTTTTGCTGAAGAATCAATCGATGACAGCAATCTACCAATCGAGCAAATCGTTGATAATTGGGACCCATAATGTCTACATATTTTTTACCACTTTTCGGATCGAATCGTCGTAAAGACTGATCAAATTCCAGATGAATATTGGGAAGTGAAGTGAAAAGGTAACGCCATCGAGTGGATAGGATGGAGGTGGCTGCAGCTTTCTTCGTTGCAAGAAAGGAAAGGATATGGCAGAGAAGGTCGTTTGGAAGAGCACTTATCCGATCAACATGATCAACTTTAACATGATTTTGGGACTGGACTTTGACAGTTTTTTGCCTTCGATTGCTCCGAATTCTTGGAGCCAAAAAGGATCTCCGGATACGAGACATTTTTAGCTACATATAATTTGAGCAAAAAGAAAGTGCGAAGATATGTGAAAGCTAGCTCGAAAGAGAAAACTCAAAAGAATTCAGGGTAGCATTCTTTAGTTGTTTTGTGCAATCCAAAAATTAGCTTCAACATCTATAGGCCCTCTTCACTTAATGATGCTAATCAGAAGTCTCACTCTCGTATTAATGTTTCTAATCCGCTTTGTCTTCTCTGTTACGGGGAACTGGAGAGCTCACATCACAAAAATGTGGAAAAAAGTGACTTTTATTGATTTTTCACAAGCATAACTGCATGATGTATTAGATGCAATGTGTAGTTTAGCCTTACATTTAATATATGTAATTGCAATGTGAAACAGCAATTATGTATGCTTTCCCCCAAGCGCCAGGGGAAGTTTTGAGATTCTATTTTATATTCCCTAGGAAATTTTGAAAATTTTTATCGAAAATACCCATAGACTTTGATAGAATTCCATTGCTCCTCTACACTTAACTTTCCGATTATGACAAATTTAAATTACGAAGTTCAATTTGTCATTAGTTGTATTAGCTTTACATTGACTTGTTAAAATTTTTTCTATTCTGTCAAGAAAAAATTTGTTCAAAACTAATCTATATACATTTCAATTTACTATTTAACTTTTTGATCTACGAAATTTTAAATTAAAGTACTTTGTCCTGAATGCAAATGATCCACTATATATGAATTTGAAGCTGATAATTAAGTTCGTATATTTTCTAAAGTTCTTTTCTTAAACATATAAAACCAATATACATCTAATTAGCAATATTATATGAATATTTTTCAGTTACATTTTCTCATAAATGAGTTCTTTTCAAATTTGGGATTAGAGAACACTAAAATTATGCTTTGTAGAAAAAAAAAGTGAATAGTAATTTTTTTGTTGTTAAGATTGTAACAACAAGAAGATAAAAATTTGAGTAGTAAATCACATTTTTTTTAACTAGGGATCCATCCCTTAATTTATTTATATCCGAAAAGAGTACAGCGAATTATAAGGGGGGCCAAACCTGAGCTCTGTTAAGGTAAAAGGGACAGCTAAAGATCAACAATAATACGCACATATGGAAAAATCTACGAATCTAAACACATAACAGATGAATCGAACAAAATCATCCACATGATGGTGCCCCACAGTTGTGGGATTGTGAGTGAGCATGGGAATTTGATTTAACATCTTGACGTGTTTGTATTGTTTTACCTTTTTTTGAAAGCTGCTTCCTCGCTTTTTTTGAAATCACTTGGGTAAATTGCTCGTGAACTAGTTTCTGGTCTTGGTCTTCGTCTTTATCACGTTGTGAATCATCATCTTCTTCTTCAGTAAATCACATTTTAATTAGTGAAAATGCTAGAGCCAAGACTTGGGGCCAGTGGAGTCAGGATTATATAGAATCATTACTATTCAGTTTAAATTATATATAATGTACTTGTTTTAATTTTTTTTCTATGATCTTCTCAATTTTTGGTTTAATAATAGTAAAAAAATTTTGTATCAAAAGAGACAGTTTGAGAGATATTGGCATTTAGGAATGTCAATCTAATAAGAGATGTGGAATTTTCCAAATAAAAGGGGGGCAATGTGAAATAGGAGGTGTTTTCTACAATTTTGGAAGGGGAAGGGAATTGACTTCTTGACATATAAATTTGATTTAAATTTTTTTTTACTTTGATTTGCAATCAAATATCAAGTTTGGATAGTTAACTGCAAAAACTAAATACAAGAATGGTAGTGACCGGATTCAAAACAGGCCACCCAAAATGTTTTTAGGAAAAAAAAATGGCCAAAATTTAAGAATTACACTTGCAAGTGATAATTCTTTATACATAAAATGCCCCTCTCCCCAGAAAAAAATTCTTGCCTCTGTGACAGGTATGTAAATACTAGTTTGGCAATACATCTATTGCATCTCGCATATCTCATTTTTGTAACTATTAATAGCATGTTGCTTTGAAAAGTAAATAAATTGAATGAAATTTAATTTATCTATTTATATAACTTTGAATATTAGGTAAAGTGTACCTCTTTTGGTACTTTCTTTCAAATTTTTTCTAATCTACCTTTTATACTTAATTTATTTATTTTTGGTTTTGACATAATTATCAAAGTTAATATTATATACACTAGCAGTATATATAGTATCATAGTTGGATGATACTTTTGCAAAATTTAGATTTTAAATTTAAATTCAGATTAATTGTTATACATCTAATGGAGATAGTATACACACTACTAATGGATGGAAGATTAATCCTTATTATTAAACATAACAATCACTAATATCATAAATAAGCCATATTGAAATATAACATTTTAAAATCCTCTAAATAATCAAACATTAAATAATTCAAACATTTGTCCAATAGTGAAGTCTAATTCCAACTTTAATCAATACTGATTTTTTTATAATCAATGGAGAAATCTTTGATAATAATGAATATGGATTGTGTTCAATCAATACCATGGTGAAAATCAGCAATACTTCATTGCACAATTCTTTGTCATTAATCGCTTAACCATGATTTTAAGTTACCAAGCAAATTTTCACACACAAAAAAAAAAAAAAAACAATGTACAACTTTTTATCACCATAGGTTAGTTGGTGTTGTTATCAGCGTTTTGCTCAGCAAATTATTTGTATATATAATTTCTTTCCTACATGAGTGTTGCTCGGATCCTTCATTAAAGTCAATCAACTTTAGTTGTTCAAAGCAAAACTGATTTTGCAGCCTCGCACCTCATGAATTTCTTTTTCCCCTTTATGGAATATCTACTATGTCTAAAATCTTTTATATCAAGAGTTGAAAAGTACACTAAGAATTATTTCTTAAATTTATGATAAATTCTTTTACTTATTTTTAATTGCCTTAGTTAGATGAAATAGTAGTGTTTCGACGTTTACATATCAATTTTATAACTTTCATTTGGTACATATAAAACTTACAACCAAAATAGGAGTGTTTAAAAGATTATATAATTCCTTGTGCATAAGGTATAAAGGAAACTTTTTCCATTCTAATTTGGTATTAAGTTTTCCATTCTTGCTCAATTATCTATTTAGCCATAAGGTGTAGAGATAGTAAATTGAGCAAGTTATGAGAATCTTTTATTAATATTAAAATTATTTCTATGTTGTAGATATATTTCAGCATTGATTTTCATATATTTTTCTTGTTTGTAAACTGAGTATTTGCAAATAAAATAAACTGCATTAAAAGATTCTCTTTGTGTTTTAAAATGAAATATAAACATTAAAACGAATTTATTTACACACTAAAAAGTATCATTTATACTCTTACCCCTATGGTTGCTCACTGTTATTTTGCAACCTAAATTTTTTCATTTTTTCGTAATCTTTGAATTTCAAATGTTAAAGATCGCATGATATTTGTTGTTATCTTGACCGATTCAACTTCTTTCTCCCACTTGACAATAATCTCGATGCACATTAATTGTGCATTTATCTTCCACTATAAACTTATAAATCCAATTTGAATTGCTATCTAAACATGGTTTCAAACACTAATTACATTCACATTAGTATATCATAGCATATACAATATTAGCATAAAGAACAACTTGTTCTAATCTTTCACTTTTGACAATTAACCCACAATGGTTGGACAAATAATACCTTCTTAAAGTTACGACTGACATGATTAGCGTATCAATTCTTGTTTCTAATCTATCATGTCAAGTCCTTCTCTTATTTTTTTTTCTCCTTTTGCGTTATAATTGTAATTTGAAATTTCTACTTCAAGATTACGAGTAAATTTAGGCAAGTTTTAGTTGCCGCTGATTTGTCTATACTTATGTTCGAGTTGCTTTATAATGACACATATTGTTTTTTAGATGCATCATTGGGGAGCCACCAAAGTTTTTCATTTTTAATTTTTTATTATTCATGTAGAACCCAAAAATTCTACTAGAAAAATATGGGAGATATATTTGACAAATTCAATATGAGGGAAGGCAATTTACACACATAAAAATATGTGTGAGAGAAGAGAAATAATACCAGCAATAATCTATTAATTACATTATAAGAACGAGACTCTCAATCCTTACTCTTCTGAACTAAATACAATAATATAACTTCATATTTATAAATTAGATGACTTGATAAACAAGTCTTATACCGCGAGAAAGTTCCTAATAAGATACTAATTCCTAACTAATAAAACTACTACTTGAGATCTATGGTTTAAACCGAACACAGCGAGTTTGAATCCTCTCTCTCTCTCTCTATCTCATGAACCATTGGCAAATCTAATTAACCATGGCAGCCGAGTCTGCCCCCCTCCTCCGGGTGGGGGGCTGTCGGCCTTTTCCTCCCCCTTTAGGAAGAAGGCCTTCTCTGCGTTGTTTGAGCCACAACCGACGTCCGAGGTAGTGCAAGTTCAAGCGAGGATGACAACACACCGTGGAGAGCCTGCGGTGGTCTTCAGTGCGGCTGACATAGCAGTGGTTGCTGCTCCATTCCGCTACACTTTGGTTGGGAAGTTCTCTAAGGGGCGGCCGCTGCTGCCTGACCTGAGGAAATTCTTGTCGACTCTTGATTTGAAGGATACGGCGACTGTGGGATTGTTAGATGCTAGGCATGTGTTGCTGAAATTTCAGTGTGAAGCGGATTTCCTTCGCGTTTGGGGACGAAGTTTGTGGTACGTGAATGGATCCCCCATGAGGGTTTTTAAGTGGACATCTAAGTTCCATGTGAACAGAGAGTCTTCCCTTGTTCCCGTCTGGTTTAGATTGCCCAAACTCCCAATTCACTTATTTGCTAAGCCATGTCTATTTCATCTTGTCTCCTGCTTGGGTACGCCGCTATTCGTGGATGCGGCTACGTCTTCGTTTTCGCGACCGAATGTGGCACGGGTATGTGTCGAGGTGGATCTGCTCAAATCGATTCCATCGAGGGTGTGGGTCGATATGGGAGATGGGGATGGTTTTTGGCAGGTTCTTATCCCTGAGAACCTCCCT